TTAGGTCTAGGGCGTTTCTCAGGAAATCAATGAATGCAGAACAATCGATTAATCAGGGTTCAGGTTTAAGCACGGTTCTTGAACTCGAATCACAGAATTATAATTAACCAACTTCCGTTGTGAGAATTATCTAAGTTAAAATCCTAGAATTCCAAATTCCTTTGCAAACCCTAAAGATTTAAACCAGCTTTAATACTCAAGTTCGATATGTTCACAAAGTATCTAAACCAAATTCCTTTGCGAATAACTACTTTGCGAATAACTACTTTGCTCACCCTAGGTTCTTTCCAGTTATTCAATTACACTTCCGTGTCAATCAATTAACCTAAGATCTAAGTTTTAGGTGGCCAGTCCAGAATTAGCTTTAAAAACAACATATGGTGAAGAACTAAATAGATTATGAACCCTAACTAATCAATCAATCCAACATCCAATGAAATCCTTTATGAGAACCCTAAACCTAACAAGCAAATTACTCAGACATGGAGATTGAAGCAATAAACATGAATAAATAGATTGCAGAAAACAGTAAATAGATAAATAAACAGGGGTTCTAAATCTTCTCTTTCTGGAACAGAGTTTTAGACCCAAAAGCTCTCAAAAACAAAAGTTCTCTCTAAGAAAATCTAAGTTTTCTATATAAGGTGGCTAAAAACCCTATTTATAACTTAAAAACACGTTTTGGGCTTTCTTGTAATTATTGGAGACTTCTGGGCCCAAGAGATTCTTCAAAACTTGGACAAAATCACGTTTTTCTTATTTATGCAATCGGTGTCGAGCGTCACTCTCCATGGTGACGAGCGACACTAAATCACATAATTTATCCTTCACAAATTTGATCCTTATTTAGCTCCAAAATGCTCCAAAATCTCCAATTAAGCTCCAAACGTACCTAAAACCTGAAAAGACTCCAAAAGACTCGGAAAACACTAAAAAAACTCTATAAATAAGACTTCTATCATGGTCAAAAACCATAAAAACCATGATATATCAGTTTCACGGTAGAAGTAAGCATATACATAGGAGGTATCATTTTATCAGAGAATGTGTTGAGAATGAGAAAATTCTGGTTGAACATGTTCCGGGAACAGAACAGAAAGCTGATATACTGACAAAAGCACTTGGGAGGACCAAGTTTAAAGAGATGAGAGATCTAATTGGTGTTAAAGAAGTGATCAAAGGTGATTTCAAGCTTAAGGAGGAGATTGTTGGAGTAAGCTTAAAAGAAGTTTAAAGATCAAGTTTCTAGATTCTTCCTTAAGTTATATTTCCTATAAGTGTTAGGATTAAAAAAAAGGAAATTAGGAGTTATCTAATTATCTTATTTCTATTAGGTTTAGGAGTTGCTAATCCTATATAAGAAGATGCCAACTTGTGGCATAACTTATGAGTTTTTGAAGTTTCAATCTTTTAGGTTTTTGAATGAGTTTTCCTAAAGTTTAATAAAAGTGAGTTTTATTATTTTGATATCAAAAGCTAGTTCGATAATAACCGAAATGCGCAATAAATTGGTCTCTCGAGGGAATATATATTCCATTGTTGGAACTTTGCGTTTATAAAGCATATAGACACTAAATATTGATCCATATTAAGTTAAGAGTTGTTTCGATGTCGTGTTGAAATGATTAAGTGAGTATGTAAAAATTGTTTAAAGTTTTTAGGGAAGTGTTCTGAGATCCGGAAAACCACAATCTTGTATAATTTTATTCTCTTTTTTTTTTTGTCAACAAGGTCTATTGCCTATTGGACATTTTCTCAACTAGTTGTAGTTTGTAGAGAGCTGGTCTCGAACTTCCGTGCTCAAGGATCTTGCAGAGGTGGTACAGTGGTACTAGCGAATCCTAACATGTGTTTCTATATTTTTGGTTTTCAGTTTTTCACAAAGAAAAGTTCTATATACCTTGAATTCGAATAGACAAAATAACGGTTTATAGCCTTGAGATATAATATATATTTCAGATACACAAATCAAAATGTAAAAGTTTGATATAAACTATTGGTCATTTTCACAAAGAAAAGTTCTATATACCTTGAATTCGAATAGACAAAATAACGGTTTATAGCCTTGAGATATAATATATATTTCAGATACACAAATCAAAATGTAAAAGTTCGATATACAGTAATTGGTCATTTTCACAAAGAAAAGTTCTATATACCTTGAATTCGAATAGACAAATAACGGTTTATAGCCTTGAGATATAATATATATTTCAGATATACAAATCAAAATGTAAAAGTTCGATATACAGTAAGTAATTGGTCACAATCTTTGTATGATAAAACGGAAATATTCGAATCCTCCCCTCCTTTTCACTATTTGTTTTTTTAATATTTTTTATCTTTTGTGTTATTAAATTACGGAGTCGCATATTTTACGTGTTGTTTGTTGCGCCTAGCATTAGCATATTATCTTCTAAAATTTATAATTCAATATTCAATCAGTCAAAATTGTCTTGGTAAGATGCAACCAGATCCCAAATAGATGTACCACGAGTTTATAGGATCAAAAAGAATTCAAAACTTTTTAACTAAAAAGACAATTGTTTGTGTTTTGTACATGTACTTTTATAATATAAAAACATCATAAATTATGTGTATTTTCTTTGGTTTTATAGCATCAGTTACAAGGAATATGGCTTCACTTTGTTATATAACATTCACAGTAATCCAATGTGATCTAAATGCAATGGTTTTCCAAACTAAAACGAGTATTTTAATTACTGAACCACCGTAAGTGAATCTATCTTATTCTATTATAAGAGTATCCAAATCAATTCGTTGTGAACAAGTGTTTTGTCATTTATATATCTAGATTTTTAAAATTCAAAATTTCTGCATAAGTACGATTTAACCAAACGAATGTAGTTGGACCCTAGTATAAAATAAATATAAGTGGCGTAGCCGAAAAAAGAAATGGTTTTAAAGAAGTCCTAAAAGAATACAAAGTAGATTCTTTGACTATGACTATCCGACAAAACCAATGGAGACGAGAGAAATCGATGTGGATCCAACGTAAGGTCCTAAATTCTATATTTCAGACAGGTGCTTATGATTTATCGTCAAATTAATCAAATTTACATATAATAAAGAAGATAATGTAGCATATTTAGTATTTTTTATACCACTGGTTGATGAGCAAGATTCTTTTTCAATGAAAGAGGGAAATAACCAGCATAAAATAAATAAATAGATAGAGATTCGATTGCCCTTTCCAAAAATACTTGTCTCACGTTCGTAAATTCGAAGAGTATATTGGAACACCTTTTACAACAAAATGTATTTCATGTTGGTCTGTCAGAAATAAAACTATTCTGTGCACATGACATGGTGAGTCAAAATATGCCTAATTATATCGTCCATTTTTCTATTGAGTAAAGCATCACTTTTGTAGAATAGTTAAACTATAATAATCAAATCAGACAAATTAATTTTACTGTTAACTATTAAAATGAATAGAAAAGTAGTTTAACATCTTACCAATTAAAAAAAAACACATATTATCTTTGATGCGAACCGAAGCCTAAAAGATTGAATTTCCAAATGTTTTCATAATTTCTTAGTTACAAAGAGAAATAGTTTTTTTGTTAAAGGGCCCTCTACTAAGAGAAATAGTTGATGTTGGAAAATGATGACTACAGAATCCTAGATCAACCGACACGCGTCGAAAACCAGTTGGAGGAGGAGACAGAGAAGCATTTGCAAAAGTTATTATTCTTTGGACAAAATCTTCAACTTCACAAAAGCTTGAAATGGGAAAGCTAGCTGAGAGGAGGAACAATAATCACATTTCTTTGTGCCTTAATCCCATGGTTTAGAATCTTTGACTTTGACGCACCACATTTTTGAAACTTTGCTTTTAACCGACATTAAACATTTTTTTATCTCCCGTCTAATTCAATCTTTTTTTTTCCCCTTTCTTTTCCAAAGTCACAAATCACAACTCCGATATTATGAATTTATAACCCTAACACCATCGTTATTAATTTTGTTGGACCAAAAATTTATTAGCAAACAGAAGATAGGTGGGTGTAGAAACTTGTAAGCTACTCAATCTAATGCTAATAGTTATATTACTGATGAGCAAAAAGAAATTTAAGTCATACTTATGTAATCTTTATTCGTTTAGAATAAATGAAATCTACTGCATTTATAGTCGACATGATTTTTTGTAATTAAAACTGTCACCTTTATATCTAGGTAGATCAAATATTTTAACGTATTAACATTTAAACAAAAATATAACAAAACAATTATTTTAAGATAACAGAACAAGCGTACAATTCTGTTTCCATGTATTTTGTTTTTCATATTCCGCCTACGTGGCTTGTAAACATGTTGTATCACCCATTTACAATGTAATAAAATAGATGTTAGAAAGAAAAAAAGATAGATGGTGCTTGTGATACATTAATCAAAAAGCCAATAATTTATGAGTTACGCTAGGTTTTAGTAGCCGATAAAATTTTGTCACTATTTTTAGGGTTTTAGCTGAAAGATATTAGAGAACGTAACTTATTAACAGTAGCATTTTTTTAATCACCAACATTTTGAATTGTTGAAGATTTATTTGTACATAAACATGCTATTAAAAGTTGAAATGGTCCAATATTGAATGCAATATTTTATCAAAACATTGAATGCAATAGAAAATAACGTTTCAAATAACATGAATGAAACAATGGACAAAATTTCCTTATGATCTCTAAATTTGAAATTTAACCGTAATAATATATTTGTCGACTAATTTGAGACGACCCATAATCAGTTTTAAACCCGCTAACTTTTATACAGAGTGGTGAATTGTTAAAAATAAAATAAACGGAGCTGATTAGCATAAAAAATCACGAGTTTGGAATGAGTCAACTCGAGCGAGTAAGGTGTGAAACTCGAAAGAGAGCGAGTGAGAGGATTAAGGAATGTGAGAGATACGCGACGAAGCGAAGAGTTTTTGATTATATCTAAAAGGAAAAAAAGATACCCCACAAAATTTACAGAATCTTCTCGTTTTCCCCTTCCTTCAATCAATCTTCTTCTCTCTTCTCTCTCTCTTTAGATTCCATCGTTTTCTTTTAAATCGATTCACACAGATCTCTTCTCAGGTTGTTTCTCCACAGTGTTGTTCTAACTCACCAGAGAAAACCTCTATCATGACAAATTTCTGGAAAAGTTTGAGTTTTTAGGATCAAACTTTGTTTCTTTTTGGGAAAAGAAAAATGGGTTCTTTAGGAGATGAGCTAAGTCTAGGATCGAGAAGACACAGCTCGATGCCCATAACGATCTGTGGGTTTCCGAGAAAAGCTTTGAAGATCATGAATTTTGTGGTGGAGAAAGGTTGTAAACTCGAGGAACATCTTAAGAAGCTTGAAGAAGAGAAGAGGAAGATCCAAAGCTCTGAACTTGAGCTTCCTCTATGTTTGCAGATTTTAAACGATGGTTCGTGAATTGATCTTTTCAAAATCTTCCCAATTTTGAGTAGGTAGATTTTTGATTTTGGATGCTGAAAGTATGTTTCTTGCGACGATTTTGTTCTGTTTTTGCAGCGATTTCGTATCTCAAGGAGGAAAATAAGAGATGCTCAGAGATGGATACTCAACCATTGTTGAAAGATTTCATCTCTCTTAATAAACCTACTCGAGAAGAACATGACGAAGAAGAATGGCGACATGGAGATGGACTGTTGCTGAAAAGAGAGGAGCTAGTCAAGGAGAAAGAGTTTCAGCTATGGAGAGACAAAGATCACACGAAGATCAAGAACAAACTAGAGATTGAGGTTAAAAAAACCCCTGAAATTGAGATAACATTTGGAGAATTTGGATGATGTCTCCAAGCATGTTTTAGATAAGAATCAGGACAAGGACTGAGTTTGAGATTGTTTTGGTTTGATTTTAACTGTTGCAGAGAAGTGAGGAGAAATCTTCAAATGGCTTATCATCTATGTTGTTGATCCCTCGCACAATTCCTAAGGTAGAAACCGGTTTAGGCCTCGGTTTAACTACTAGCACGATGGTTAACGAAAGAAGAAAAGAAATGGCCTCTTGTGGTTTTACCTCTTCCTCTACGCCACAACCACCATCATTTCTTCAAAAGCAAGCTTTGCGGAAGCAAAGAAGGTGTTGGACTCCTGAGTTGCATCGCCGTTTTGTAGATGCATTACAACACCTCGGTGGACCGGGAGGTAAAAAAGATAGAGAATCTCTTTAAATCGATGTGATTGTACTGATTGATCTTCTTGTTCTTGAGTTTAGTTACTTATATCTTTGCCTTGCTTGTGTTAACAGTGGCAACTCCTAAACAAATCAGAGAGCATATGCAAGAAGAAGGCTTAACCAACGATGAAGTGAAGAGTCATTTACAGGTAACAACTAAAAGAAAAGTTGACATTTTTGTTTCTGTTAACAACTGTTACTGAGAACCCATTTTTCCATTTTCTCTGTTATGTGTATAGAAATACCGGTTACACATGAGGAAGCCTAATTCGAATCCGGAGAAACAATCAGTAGTTGTTTTAGGGTTTAAATTGTGGAATTCATCACAAGAGGAAGAAGAAACCGGTGAAGGAGGAGGAGATTCATCAAAAAGAAGCAATTCGAAATCGGATTCTCCACAAGGTCCTTTGCAGTTACCTTGTACAACAACTACAACAGGTGGAGATAGTAGCATGGAAGATGCTGAAGATGCTAAATCTGAAAGCTTTCAGATGGAGAGAGTGAGATCTCCTTAAATCTCAAATCTTTTTCAAGAACCAAACTCTTGATTCCGTTTCTGTTTATTTTGGATTCACTACTAGTGAATGAGAGCAATAATTATAGAAAGGATATAAATTTATATATTTATAGAAAGAAAGTGAGAGTAATATAGTGGAGCAATGAGTGAGAGAATGGTTCAATTATTTGCAGAGATTGTAAGTGTATTTTTGTGTACGGCTTTTTTTGGTTGGGTTTAATTGAGGCATTACCCGAGTAATAATGTTTATGTTTGTTTCAGAATTTTTTTAGTTCAAAGAAAGAAAAAGAAGAAAATATGAATTAGTTACGTGTTCGGTGTTTCTTGATTTGGAAAGCATAATAATAGGAGGAACATAAGCATGTGTTTGGTCATTTATTCGGATTCGTATAATGATTTGAATTTTCTTAAATATGCTTTCAAATTACTGTATGTTCTTCAACGCTCACCTAATCATGCGGTCGTTCATTTCAATCGACTAAAAGGTCTAAGCTTTGACCGACAGATACTGTACTACATAGTTTTATTACTCTATTATTTATTTGTAGTATGATTTTTTTTTCAACATCTTAGTAGAAATTTCTGTTTTTTTTTCCCGATACTAATTTGATTTAATAATCAAAGCTTAGTTGTTTCAAAGAGCAAGACATTTTAAGCATTTGGATAAACTCAAGTTGACCATGTCAACCTCTACTCTCATTTCGAATTATTTACAGTCTACAAAGTTTTTTTCTTCTTTTTTGAATAAACTGTATAATCTCCAACCACAACACTAAATTTAATATAAAAATTATATCAAATTTGATGTTATAATGTTCTATTTTCTTTTCCATCTCCAATCACAACACTATATTTTACACTAAAAAAATATTCCCTATTATTATATTATTATATTTAAAATTCCTTTATTTTTAAAAGTGTTGATTAATACTAATTATTGTTTTAATTCAGTCTTTTAATTAAACTTTAATAAATATTTTTTAATTTAAATATTTGCTTGTTAGTTTTAATTTTTGGCTTTGTGAATATGTTGTACTAAATGTTTTAATGGTTTTTTTTTTAACTTTAATATACCATATTATCTCTTTGTCTTAATTTTAATATTTTTAAAATATAATTTTGATTACATAATTTTAATATTTATTTGTTAGTTTTGACTTTTGGTTTGATGTATACTAAATGTTTTAATAGTTTTAAAGAAGAATTAAATCTTTACAATATTTAATCAACTGATAAACACTAATCTAAATATATCATCAAATGGAGAAAAATAATATAATAATATTTAGTTTTGTGAACAATGTAACACCAAATATAAAACACCAAAAAAATAATTTACCGTCAGATATACCGTCTGATTGGAGAGAGTTTCACGTTAATAATAGCGTTATGGTGTTCAGACATTGGAGACGCCCTTTCTGTTTTTTTTTTTTTGGCCGATAATTTGATTTAATAATCAAAGCTTAGTTGTTTCAAATAGCAAGACATTTTAAGCATTTGGATAAACTCAAGTTAACAAGCCGGTCAACCTCTAGTCTCATTTCGAATTATTTACAGTTTACAAAGTTTTTTTCTTCTTTTTTGAATAAACCGTATAAGCTCCGGGTCTTCTATCATAATTTCTTTCGATTCAGAACCAGCCCTTGATAATATCACATTTCATATATAAATCATCCTGAATTTTCAAATGACCTTCTTCACACAAAAAAGAGGACTAATTGACCTTGAATACTTATTCTCAAGACCAATAAAACGCCACCCACTTGGTATTAGTTTGTAAGTTATACTTAATAATTCACTAATTTGAATCTTATCAGATCTTCTCTATACGTCAAAAATCTTATTATTGGACATTTCCAGGAAAGTATATATTAAAGTTTAACCTCATGGTTAGTAAGATACATGAGTTCTTCAACCTCAAGAAACTAGTTGTTTTATTTGCTCTCTTAACAAAGAATCCTCAGTTTTTTTGGTGTGAAATTAATAATGGATTTTAGACAAAATTGAAAACTTTGAATCTATCGTGAACGTCGGAAAAGAAAAAGAATCTATTGTGAACATATAAAAGAAAAAGAATCCATAACAAAGCAGCTACGATACATGAATAATATATATAGGAAATATTTATATGTAGCCCTCAAGAAATTTTGCAACATATCACTCTACTAAATTGAAAAAAATCTCAAACTATCAAACAAATATTATTCAGAATAATTAGTTTGATCGAGTTTTTTACTTACAAGAAACCCTGCAATCAGTCATTCAAGTCCTTTAATGAATAGGCCAATACCTTTTTTTTTTGTAACAAATAGGCTGGCATTTACCAAATTTTCTTCACAATATCGCAAAATGCACATAAAACAGCTTGTCTTCAGTTTGTGAAGATTTTTTTTGGCTTAACCGTCGCCAGTTAAATTTTTCCATTGACTGATGAAGAGAACAAAGAGTTAAGTTTGTGAAGATATATCATAGTTTTTGTCAAATAGCTCCACATGTCTGTGGAAGACACCGTCGACGACTGCCTTCATTACCCCCACCACAATCACGTCTTTATAATCAATCAATATTCATAGATTTATTTGCATATTGATTGTTCGCTAAAAATTTCATGAAGTTTCACTATTTTTGTTTATTTTAAAAATAGCGATGAATTTTGAAGCGACAAATAATGTTGCTATAATGCATTAGTGTTATTCAATTGTAATAACTTATACATTAGTCTTTTTTGTTGCACATTTCAAAATTTTAACATGAGATATGACACAGCGATGACTACATTATAATTACTCGCTTCACACATCTATGATATATGGTTTTATCTACATCACATTTATGATAGACAATTTTATCCGTGATAGACAGACCACAACAATCAGCTCTACATGCATTACATTAGAGATATTCGGTAAGTTTGTTTATATTAATCTGGATAATTTGCTCTCTCTTAATTTTTTTATGCTAAATTGTAAAAATTGATTAAAAATAAAATATTTAAGTGTTAAAAATTGTATTCACAAATTGAATGATCTAAGAGCTTGGTTGCATGGCAAAAAAAAGACTAAAAAAAATATGAAAGCAAATTCAATTAATAAAATATGTCAATCACTACACCAAAAAAAAATTTCGTCATCACAAATCCAAATCAATAATATAGTCTTCTTTTAGAACAAAATGAATATGAGACAATTCTAGTAATCTAGTTTATAATAAAATGAGACGTAACATTATACATTCAACCCCAAGTAGTTCATAAAATGTCACAAATCCACTTTGGTGGTGGAAACTAGAAAGTTATTAAACTTCTGCCCAACCAATGAAAGCAAAGACTTCGGTCGAGTAAGCTTCCAAGATGGGTAGTGGAATATGTTGCGCAATCCTCTTGATGTTAAATAATAGATAAGTTTTTTGTTTGTTAAGAATTTACATATACATGTTTTTAAAGTGTAAGAACAAGTGTGATTAATATCATATTATATGTAACAACTAACAAATATAGGCAAGAACATCCACAATCGAATCTCATCGCTTTGCGCATTGAAGAACAACAAGTACATGAAGAAGGCCTTAGATTGTAGTTTTTCAACCGCTGAAGAATCTTAATGTTTAAATTCTTTCTAAACTCAAACTGTTTTCCAAAACTAAAATTGAAGATGCAATCATTGTAAAAACTATTCTTTTTCGGTGATCAAATTTTACAATTTGTTTTTTTTTTTAAATATTGGAATACCATTTTGGGCGGTGCCCTTGACGTTTGAGCCGTTGGGGAATATAACGGCCAAATTCATATCCTTAATTTGGACCTGACCTCAAAACTGGTGTTGTTCTCTTATATTTAGTACTTCTACCTCGTCTTTAGGGAGAAGCTCAGAGCCTAGTGACATGACAAACCATAAATATATACAAAATTCATCCATTGCACTCTTAATACAATTTGAAATTTCGACTTGGTTCTACTGATACTTTACTACTTTGTACATTGGCTGCGTTGAATACACCAAATGCCCCCAACGTTATCATTTTATCAATAAGAAAAAAGAAAGTGGGGCATTATATGATAAGTTTAGTTTTTTTTTTCATGCACTCAATTTTCTCCCACTATTCAGTTAGGAATATACATTTCGGAAATTTTGTTTTCTTTTAATTGAAGTGACGTTGTATCACTTAGTATAATATATGACACATCCTAACTCGAAATAAAATCACATGTTAAAATGGTTAAAAGCAAATAATTTATTTTGCCAAGTGACTGAACTAACTGACAAAAAGCAAATATTACATAAACCTCAAAATTTATCCCACTGTATTATCTTATTTATAGTGGCACTCCCACTTTCCTAATTATGCATGCATCTCCAAGGCGCACCCTTAAGGCATATACATTAAAAACAAATAAAATTACACCTTGCTTTGGTGTATAAATACAACTAAAATCATCATAGCAATACACAATCAATCTAGCTACAATCATCTATCTTTTATTTCATCATCATGGATCGCAAAATCTTTTCGTTTATTACTCACCTAGCATTCTTTACCCTTCTCTTCAACGACTTCGTCTCCTCATTCCCTTCGGGATATAACAATGGTCACGGTCCTCACGGATACGGACTAGTTAGCAATCTCGACTATCGATTCTATGACCGGTCTTGTCCTCGTCTACAGATGATTGTTAAGACCGGAGTTTGGAAGGCTTTTAAAGACGATTCTAGAATCGCTGCCTCTCTTCTCCGTCTCCATTTCCACGATTGTTTTGTCAATGTAAGTTACGCAACATTTGATTTTCATGTATATGGATATTATAAAAACATTTCATGCATATGGATATTATAAAAACATAAACACGTTATTAAATTTTGTACGTAGGGTTGTGATGGCTCAATTCTTCTGGAGGACTCAGAGGATTTCAAAGGAGAGAAGAACGCTTTGCCAAACCGAAACTCAGTTCGTGGTTTCGAAGTCATCGAAGACATCAAATCTGATATTGAAAGCTCTTGTCCCTTAACTGTTTCATGCGCGGACATAGTTGCTCTTGCAGCTAGAGAAGCCGTTGTCCTCGTACGTGACGTGTGATCTTGAAACCGCTAATTATATTAATCTAAAATGTATCTAATGCATGCATGGCTTCTTATGCCATATGCAGACCGGAGGGCCGTTTTGGCCGGTGCCGTTGGGGAGACGGGACTCGTTGACGGCAAGTGAGCAAGCGGCGAATACAAATCTGCCGTCACCGTTTGAGCCGTTGGCGAATATAACGG